CATGCGCTGCAGCGACACGCGTACCACGCACCGCTCGGCGAGCGGCACCTCTCCTCTCCGGAGGGGCCACTTTCGGTTTCGTGCAACCTGCGGATTCCCTTTTACAGCCAAGAGGGTTCAGGAGGAGACCTCAGACGAGAATACGCACATCCCAGGAGCCACGCAAACCCGAACCGGTCTTATACGCGCTCCGCTTGCTCCTTCCCCGTGCGTTCATGCAACTTCGGCAGCAGTTTGCGCTGAGGGCGAGACACGGTCAGCGAAAACCTCAAACCTTCCCCCCCGCCCCAACCCCGTAGCATAACCGTCAGCTCTCAGCGTGGTCAACTTAACAGCCACCGCCTTCTCCTCGTCTGGCTGCAGAGGCACCTCTAGATGGTGCTTTGGTACCGCGCTCCACGCGCGGCGACCCTTCTGCCCTTGCGGCGTGCCAAAGGCCCCTCCAAGCAGCCCGCGGGAAACCACCGATTCCTGCCCGGAATGGCGCTGCCAAGTGCCACAGCGCCTCGCTTTCCGCCAGAGCACCTCGCTTGCCCGTGAATAACGCCGCCGCCGAAGGCTGCCGCTCACAAGGGTCGCCGCAAACCGCAGGCTTGTCTCTCTGGGCTGCGGGAACCCGAGGAGCTTCAGGGCAAGGAGCTGGTGCGGGCGGGGAGAGAAACAAGCGCTCCGCCTTGCGGGTCACAGCAAGTGGGTACTTCTGGATGGGTCTTATTTTTCTGGAAAAAAAAAATCCATTTTGGAAAGAGAACAACCCCCCTCTCCCAACCCTTTATTATTCAACTCTTTGTTCTGATTCAGGACGCAAACACATGCAGAAATATCACAACGTAACAAAGACACGTTCCTCTCTTCTGCTCAATTTCAGCGGTAAAATGTCCCTGTTAATTGAATTTTCAGACCGTCTGCCTTGCATTGCCCTCGGCCCAGCCTTCCCTACCTGGGCCCACCTGGAGCAGACCGGGTTATCCTGTTTCCTCTTTTCTATTTATGCTCTTCAAATATTTGCAGACAAGTAAGCTGGCGAGCCTCTGTTTGGACTCCTTATCTCAAAGGGTTTTCTTTCCGTAGCATTTCTCTCTTCCCTTCCCACACCTTCTGTCTAAACTGACAGCAGAAAGACGTAGGGGTCGCACGTACTCTCCATAAGCAAAGCTGCTGTTTACCCCGCTCTCAGTGAGCTTTCCTGGGGAAACCTGACCGCTGAGTCCCAACTCAGCAGAGAGCAGCCGCCGCCTCAGCTCCCAGACCTGCCTGCGGCCACCTTGCCAGGGAGACGTGTAGCTATATACGAGGACAAGACGAGTCACAAGAGCAGGAACCACGAGTTTTAAAGTCCAAAAAGACTTCTGCAGCCAAGGTGCGTTTTCGCCCTGTAAGCGTTTCGTATGGAAGAAGCACCACCAAAAGCCTGCGTATGATATGATGGGTAAATTTGCACTGCCTGAGGTAGGAGCCCATTTTTATAGATGGGGGAAAGTACAGCGATTTTTGCCCAAGGCGACGCTGTATACGTTTGGTGGTAGACGGGGAGCAGGGGCTGCCAGCTTGCCTCCCATTTGCTGACATATGCCAACATACAGTTTGCGACATCTGGTCTAGGTCGTGCTGCTGGACTGCATCCAGCCTTGCCCCTGCAGGCCATATGGCCAACTGGCCATCCCTTGCTCTATCAAGTTCACCCTTTTTATTGCTAACCAATTAATTCATGAAATTGTACTAGTTGGAGAGCACCAAAGACCTTTTTTTTTTTTTAAAAAAAAAAAAAGATCATTCAAACCAAAAGCTTGTTCCTTGTGCAGTTTGTTCAATATCTCCCTGGCTTTAACGCTGGCTGGCCTCTCCGCAGCCGCCTCCGCTGAAGGCCC